GAAAAAAAAAAAAAAAAAAAAAAAATGTAGACCACCTAGAGCATCTGTCTGAGTTGTACACCTGAAGAGGATCTCATTTTCACAGGTGAGGAAATTGGCCCGCAGAGAATGGAAATGTGTCCAATGTACCCTGCAGGAAGAAGGTAGAGGCCAGCCCTGAGACAGGGCCTATGGTCTTAGACTGGCTAAGAACAATGTGCTGGACAGCAGATCACACCAGAGACTCCAGAGAGTGTATGCAGGGGCGGGTAGTGACACAGGAGAGGCGTTTTGTTTTCTTTTTTTCCCACAATCAAACCGAGATTAGGACTGAGCACTTTCTGTACTTATCCCTGGACCTTGTAGGGCACTGGAAGGAGATAGTCAACATTGAGACCAATCTGGGTGGTCCAGTTCTGGAAGCAAGGGTGGGGCAGAAAGGACGGACCTGGCTCATACTCCCTTCAGCCTTCCACTAGCTCGCCTTGTGGTGGCTCTGTGTCATGTGCAGCATCCCAGAAGATAAGAAGCCCTATCCCACTTTTCCCAAAGAGATTTGTAGGAAGATACTTGTTTTCTTGCAAGCTCGAAGAAAAAAAACCTTTAAAGATGTAAATGAAAAAACCAAATATGTTCTAAAATGTAACCATATATATCACTAATATATTGATCTGGAAATGTACTTTTTCTCATAAAGATTCTATATCCCGTTCTCTCTGTATCTTCCTCACTTCCCGTTGCTTGGGGGGCAGCTGGCCCAGCTTTGTAGAGCAGCTGGCCTGCCCTTCTGTCTGAGTCCTCTGAGAGCCACCTTGTTTCCCTCTTGATTAGGAGACTGACACCTACAAATTGTATCTCAACAAGCAATTGTCATGCTATTAGCATAACATAAGGCAGCTTTAAAATATACAAAGGATTTTCACAACCTAACAACTTGCTGTATTGCTTTGCAGCAGTAATCCTCAATGACTTTTTATAGGGATCTGAGATTATAGCCCAGGAATAATGAAATTTACATTAAATCTATTTTTCTCTCTCTTTTTTAACCTAGTTCCATCAAGTGATTCCCTATAAGCAATCCAAGATGGTATGAGATACTTTCAGGTCCCCAGGCCTTCTTCAAGTGGTATTTTGTTGTTAAAAAAAAAAAATAATAAGTCATTGACCAAAGGAGTAGAAGAAGAAGCTAAATGTGAGGTATGACTGGCTAGGGTTTGATGGTTGTGGAGCCAGGGAGACTGGCATATGGAAGAGAGTTCATTCAACTATTTCGTCAGCATTGTAGGGGTCAAAGTTTAAGTTCCGAGGGCTTTGTACACAAGGCAATCTTCATGAAGAATGAGTTGGGGGGATGGCTTATACGGGGACATAGGAGGTGGGTAGCTGTCTCTGTTGTTGCTTTTAGCACCCTCCAAAACTACTGCTCCACATAAGTGCTGATGGTAGATGTTGGAATCCAGGAGGACAGGGTGTTTTACCTTAATAACCCCAGAACAGGGCAGAGGCCCCAAGGCCAGAGTTAGTCCTTTGTAAACATTTTTTGAATAAATGAATTTATGAATGAGTGCATATGTTGGTGGGAGTCAGTGGCCTTCCCATGGTTATGTAACAGTAAATTGCAGAACCATAGCTGACCTCAGATCCTTGGACTCTTGCTGTTATGGCTTATAGTTGTCCTTCCAAAGCCACATGTGGTCGTAGGCGGGGCTTTTCAGAGATGGCTGCATCTGGAGTGTGTGGTGCTGGGATCAAAGTTGTATGATTATCAAGTGCTACACCGGCCCTAGGGTGCGTATCCTGCATAGACTATAAGGGACAAGAAAAGGACTAACGTGCTTTCACCTGCCTTCTTGCCACAGACTGTTTCTCCTCTGTAATGTCCCTCTCCCATGCCACCCCGCCTTGGAGCCAGCCAATTGGACTGAAACCCCTACAAACTGTGAGCCAAACAAACCTTTCCTCCTTTACCTTTGGGTGTCAGATATTTTGTCTCAATGATGAGAAAGGCAACCCATACATCTATTCTGGTGCTCATCCCAGCACTCCTGGGCAGCTTATACCCTCCTTGCCCTGGCCAGTTCTGTAGTCCCTGCCCGACTTCTGACCAATTTTGATACATGGGCAAAGGAGAGCTGTGCTGCCCAGTACTATAGCCATTAGCCACACAATGTACCGGAGCATGAAATGCTGTTTTAATTTCAAATACTTGGTACAAAGACAAAGGAAGGAAAAATATCCCATCACTATCTAATCTATGATTATACATTGAAATTAGAATATTTTAGAATATTTGATTAAATGAAATGTTTCAAAATTAATCCTCTCTCTGAGTGTTTTTTTCTAGGCCCACTTTTGTTTTCATTTCGGTACCGGGGCTCGAACTTGGGTCCTTATGCTTGTGAGACAGGCAGCAGAACCACTTAGCTAAATCCCTGGCCCTCTAGGCACACTTTTAAACCCATGCTTACTAGACATTTAAATTTATGTACATAGCTTGCATTCTATTTCTTTTGGACAGCACTAATACAGGAGATTAGTATGATGATAATTTATGGCTATTTGTCTAGAAATCAGGAGAATATTTCCAGGGAAATGAGCTAAGGTAGACATGGCCTCTCTGAACACTATTTCTAGCAACCAAAGGTCATCAGGTGAGAATAATATATAAGAATGTGCTCTTCTCCTGAGTCTTCTGTCCACCACTCCTAAAAACGTACTCAGATGCCCAACCCACCTACAAGTTCTTGAAGGTATGGACCAGCAGGTGCTCAAACCCCTTCTTCCATGGCTCCACGGAACAGGGTATCTCCTTGATACCTGGCAGAGGAGTCACCTATCATGGAAGCTTGCTATTCCCACACAGACATCAACTTTAATCCAAAGGTATCGACACCTAGAAAGCTGGATTTCCAGACCAAGGACCTCAGGTCAAGTCTCCTCCTGGTACCAAACTATACGGTAAGGGTTGACCATCTCCGTTTTATAAATGAGGTTCACAGTGGTGAAGTGATTTCCGCAGAGTCCAGACTCAAACCTTAGTTCTTTTTACTCCCTGTTATGGCTTGTGTCTAGGTGTCCCCCCAAAGCCTCATGCAGTTGTCGGTGGGGCTTTTTCTGAAGTGACTGAATCTGGAGTGTGTTAATTTAATTCATGGTGGGGCTAGGCCTGAGAGCACTGGGACTAAGGCGCTACCTGCCCTGAGAATTCTGAATAAAATAAAAGGGGCAGGCAGAAGCTGTTAAAATCCCTTGTTGTTTTTGCTACTTTGTGCACTGCCATGTTGTTTCTTTTCTGTGATGCTTGTTTGCCATCCTTGCCCCAGAGTCTGCCGATTATGGACTGAAACCTCTACAAACTGTGAGCTAAATAAAGTTTTACCCCCTTTAAATCTAGGTGTCAGGCATTTTGTCCCAACAGTGGGAAAAGTAACTCATCCCCTCCAAGTCCAGTATTCTTTCCAGTATTCTTCATTTTGACTATTTCAAGACCACTAGCCATTTTTCCCTTCTTTGGACAAAAGCCAGAGGGTTCCGGCATGAACTGCCTTAAATGAATGGATTGTGTATAATTGTGATAGTAATGAATAATAATGATGAATGCGAGGACTGTTTAAGATAACTTAAAAATAATCATCCATTATGAAAACTCAAAGCATCATTAAGTCCACGAACCCAGTCACTCAGAGCAGGGTTTCCCTTTTCTTCAGTGATCATTATGTTTGCTAGGGGGATAAGGATCATGCAGCTGATAAAATGTCACTATTTCTGGCAGCGTAAAGATGGAGTGTCTCCCTGTCCTGACAGAGCCGAGCCCTTGACGTTCTCAGGCGTGGGGTATAGGGTAGTGGGGTAAGGAACTAAATCGGGAGGAGCGGGTCAAATATCCAGCAAAGCTAGGCCTTCAGCTAGAGCCACAGGAGGGAGCAGAGAAAATAAATGGCCATTTCAAAGCCATGGGGCTGGCTAGTTGCTCCCTGAACAGAACCAGCTACTAGGAAACTGCAGAGTGCAATCTCGTCCAAGAGTATTAGCCTGGGAGTCTGAACGTACAGTCTCCTGGCTCTGCCTCAAATTCATGTGACCTGGATTTGGGGATAAATTATTTGCCAAAAGTCACATGACCACAGTGGCTCAAAGTTCCCCCAGTTTTGACATCTGTTAATCTGTGTCTGGTAGCAGATAATAAAGTTTGCCTTCATGGAGTCCTTGGCGCCCAGGCCGTGAACTTTCAGAAATGGCAGTGTTACCTACTATCTGACACAGGTTCTTTCTTAGGAAAGACAAGTCATAGCTGGCTTCAGTGACAAATCCACTTTGGTTCCAGATAATCACTGGCCTCCTTTCCCTGCCAAGTCATACTTTGTAAATGTCGCCCCTCGGTCAAGATTTTCATGCAGAGGGCAGGCCAGCTTGCCAAGGCTTTGACTCCAGGGAGATGGCCTGGGAGATATGTGAGTGGTGGAGAAGAGCTCAGGGGACGCTGTTCCTTTCTAGTGGGGCCCACTGGTGACAGTTCTCACAGGTTTCCAGGCCTGGCTCGGCAGACTGACCACACTGTGAGACCAGACGTGGAGAATCTGTGGTTAAAGGAGAACTCGAGATGCTCTCGCAACCATGCATGGTGGTGCACACCTGTAATCCCAGCACTCTGAGAAGCTGAGTTAGGAGGATCGCCAAGCCTGAGCCCGGCCTGGGCAGCAAGGGACATGGAGTGGGAAGTGAGGATCTAGCTCAATGTGAAAGCCCCGGTACCACAACAAAAGCTCTCGTCTGCTGCAAACACCCCACAGTGTCCGCTCAACTCACTGCAGTGGAAGCAGGTCTTGTGGAAACTCCTGCCATTGCACTGGATTTCCTCCGCGTGGTAGACCGTCTTTTCACAGGCTCCACATTTCGCTCCTCCTCCCCAGTTTGGCATCCTGAAGACTCCCTGACCAAGGTCAAGTCTAAGAGGATAGAAAGCCAATACCCTCAATGTGGGTGACATCAGAAGTGAGCCCATTCCTAGTATTCAGTGATCTCAAGACTAGAATCCAACCTCAGTGGTTCTAGTGGTTGTTCAGTGGTTCGTTCATTCATTCAGCAAATAGCTGTTCTGTGCACATAGTTCCAACCCCTCGGATGGCTTTGAACGGCCACTTCACCACTGGGACTCAGGTTTCTTTGCTGTTAGATTCTAATAACATCTGACCCGATTTATCTCACAGGCTCCTTAGAAGGAATGGATGGCTAATTCTGTGCATCTGAATTATATGCAAATATTACAATCATTTTTCCACCTATGTTTTAAAAAATTACCCCATCGGGAGTGGGAGTCACATCAGTAAATGCTATCATTTACCTGTCTAGCCCAGTGCCTCTCAAATCACCTTGCGTCTTGCAGACTCTGGTAGACCTGGGGACAGGCAGTGTTGAGGCTATTAACCCTTTAGGTAGTACATTCTTAGCTCATCACGTATGATATTAAAAAATCCCCTAGGGCCAGGGATGTTGTTCAGGTGATAAAATGTATTGGCCCTGCACTGGGTAGGTCATCTGGAAACCTGCCGCGGGCCATCAGGGATGCTCTCAATGCACTGTGCTAGTGAAAGAGCTGCAAAGCTTCTCGTTACCTCTTCCCAGCTACATGACAAGAACCATGCTCTTCCCTGTGGCTTCACAGTGTCGTGTGGAGGACCGGAGGATGCCATGCATGGGAAGGGAGTTGGACACAGTCCTCTGTATGGGACAGGGGCCAGCTGATGGTACCGATGCATCCCCCGGACTCTTGCAACACACGTGCTGCCGGGAGCTGCCTGTGGCCACAGTCCCGAGCATGCACTGTCTTTCCACCAGAGGATTCAGTTTAAATGATACTGTACTGCACAGAGAAGATGACTTTAAAAAGTAATTTTTCAGCAGGGAAGCTGAAGCAAGGGGATGGCAAGTTCAAGCCCACCCTGTACAACTTAGTGACTGCGTGAGAGAGACTCTTATCTCAAAATAAAAAATAAAAAAGGGCTATGGATGTAGTTCGGGGCAAAGGCTCTGGGTTCAACTCCAAAAACAGCAAGAAACACTTTTCTCCTGTAAGAATGAATCCAAGCTTTTCTTTTTCCCAGAATAGAACTGAAATAAGCTAACCGTAATCAAAGAAATTTCTGAAGTCCTACGGCCACTGAGCAGCTGAGTTTTCACCAGGATCCTTTGGTTTCTGAGAAGCCTGGTGTGTCGTTGTTATGGACATGAAGCACCATCGGGCCATTCCAAGTGGCTGCTCCTGACCTTCTCCTTCCCTTCTGGGAAGCCAGTCACCTTCTTATAATAGCTGTCGATTAACACTAAGTCTTCTGGGGTCAACTCCTCCGGCCAGCATCTCCCAGTCTCCTAACAAAGATCATTTTTGCTAAGAAACAGGGAGTCAATAAAAAACAGACCACTGAGCCTGCCACTGGGCCCCGAAGGAATGTTCCTGTCTCAGCATCTCCCAGAGTGCTCTTTCTCCTTAGGAAAGCTGGGAGGTTGCACAGGAACATTCTGCCCTGTGGAGGAAGCAGGCCCTTCTAGTTAGTGAAATTTCAGAAAATAACTTCAAAAAGAGAAACATTCAGTGCTCCTGTCCCTATAGTTTGTGTTGTTTAGTGTGACGGACAAAAAGTAGATTTTTTTTCCCTGAAAGGCTTGGAGTGGATCCTGCATTCCTTCGTTGGTTCCTTCTCCCATCCATTTACCGCGTGCTTACATCCTGACTATCCTGGATCAAGCGCAGCACTAGGTATTCAGGGGCAGGTCAAGGAGGCAGCACGTATAAAAGCCAGTAGTCTGTGTCCCCTGACATTGAGAAGCCGTATTCTAGTGAGGAAGACAGGTAGGAAGCAAAATAGTTGGGGCCACCAAAGAGTCTTGTGAGAAGCACTAGGAAACTCGAGTGAGGGCACAGTGGTGAGTTGTTGGAGGCTCACAGAAGAGATCACGTCCACATGGGATTTTGAAGGATGAATAGGAGTTCAGCAGATAGAGAACATGGGAGAAGGATATTTTATACAGAGGGGGAAAGAAGAACCAGCAGAAAGGGATGGAAACGTTAAAATCCTTTAATAGAACCTAAAGAGTTTTGGCTCCATTTAAACAATAGACTTTTAGGTTTGGAACGCAACTTCAAGATTGTCTGATTCCCCTCACTTACAACTCAGGTGTGGCATAAAAAGTAAATATTTAGGGATATTTTCTTTGCTGATTTATTTTTCACAGGCCTATCCTTCTCTTGTGTAGGGTAATAGATTTTTTTTTTAAGCAAAGAGCAGAAACACATCATTTCGTTCAGGTTCATTTTGATCCTTGGTTTCAACATAATATGAAATAGAGGAGACGTGATGTACTTCATCTAGGAATGTGGCAGTGACACGTGTGAAATTAGTGATGTGGAAACTTTCAGTGAAAACAACCCCAGGTCGGATTTCTCATTTCACATCTTCCATGGAGATTTCATTGTCGTATCCTGCAGGTTGGTGGGAGACAGATTCGCCATCTGGAGAATATATATATATTTCCCCAAGAGGCATATGTATTCAACAATTGCCTAGACATACTTTTCAAAATGAGGATTCGATTACAGATAATACCTTCTTCACAGGCTGATGTGTCCTAGCACAGCCTGCTAAGTGAGCATAAATATCTGACATGCATGTATCAGGATTTGAAACCCAAAATAGAAATCTATTATTATTAATGGACACTCAGTTCCATTTCTAAAGAGGGGAGTGTAGCAGTGAAACCTAAATGCAGAGGAAAAAAAAAATCTCCGATGCTCTCCTGCACTCACAGGCCATGCGGCTGAAGGTGTTTCAAAGCATCCCGAATCCAAAGACATGGATTTCAACCATGACCTAATGATCTTGAACTTGAGTGAAAAATGTTGATGATGTCACCTCTTGCACAGGACCGTTGCAAAGGTCATGGAAATACAATGGAATTTAAAGCAGTATTGTGAAGCTGCTCAGAGGTGAGGCACGGGTACCCACTTTATTTCAGCGTGCTAATTAAGGCACTGTGATTTAAAGCACATCTAGGTCCTGGCTCACAGAGGTAACCTTTTCAGCCTCCAAGTTGCTTTGGCATTCCTGTGTCTCAGCACTCCCAGCCCAGCTCCGAGCATGTTCACCCTGGCACAGCAGCAAGAGATGGGCCATTTGTTTATCAGCATTGCCTGGAACTGGCAGGGGTCACTGAAGGTGGGACACCAAATATAGGCTTGCCCGTCACTCAGCCCCATTTATCACCCAGATCAGTCTCAGTCACACCACCTGGTGCTGGGCTTCCAGCCAGTCCCCGCCATGGCTGTGCTGTCTGTCACAGACGAGCCGTGGGTCAGGGCTGAAATGAGAGACACTGGGAGCTTCGGCGTTAACAGATGGGACTCCAGGGGAGGCATCTGGGCTCAGGGACAGGCTCCCTGCGTAGACTCAGCCGACAGGGCTTCTGAGGAGGTTCTCGTGGGCCGGTGCTGCCGTGGGACCGTGCTGTAGATGCAGGCTGGACTTCCAGTCCCTTGGTGCCTCTGTCAATCTGAGTGATCTTGGAAACTACTGATGCTCTCTGAACTTCAGTATCCCCTCGTTTTCAAGTGAGGGCAGTAGTTCTCACTGTCCCACTACTGCTGCAAGAATCGTTTCCGTTCAGATGCTATCAACTCGCTTTGTAAACAGCACTTTATGTAAAATGTAAGATCTAATTTGTTTCGCCACAACTCGAAACTGTCATGCATCACTCTGGATTGTTTTAAAATAAACTGTATATTTTGGATACATTTTTCATAATTCAACTCTTTTTCTTCTGTCCTTCTTTCTGTCCTTCCTTCCTCCCTTCTTTCCTTCTCTGCCTCCCTCACTCTTCCCTTTCCCTCCCTCTTTGTCCAGCCTCTCTTTTCCCTCCTCCCTCCCCTAAATGTGGAGAAAGATGATATGACATCTTAGGACAACAGCAAGTGCAGTACAGAAAATGGTCAGTGATTTAGTTTCTTTCTTGTAGGAGTCCACTAAAGGATCTGGAGAGCTGGGGCTGTAGCTCAGTGGTAGAATGCTTCCCTCCCATGCACAAGACCCTGGGTTCGATTCCCAGTACTGGAAAAAAATAAAATAAATGCACTTGTTCTGGACAGTGCTACACACCTATAATTTTAGCTACTTGGGAGGCTGAGGCAGGAGAACCATAAGTTTAAGGCCGGCCTGGGCAACTTAGCGAGAACTTGTCTCAAAATAAAAAACAGAGGGTAGCACACCCTAGGTTCATTCCCCAGTACCACACACACACACACACACACACACACACACACACACACTCACAAAGCATCTGGGAGGAAACCTTAGCCCATGACTTCTAGTGGAGACTTCACACAACCGTGCCACTGTGTAGCTCTGTGCTGGCTCACTGCGCTATCCCACTAAGACGCCTGACTCCACGCGGCGAGTTAACCCTTCTGTGCTGGCAGGGACAAAGCAGGTCTCTTGGACTCAGAGACACACATATCTGACAGCAAGGAGATCTCACAGGCTGGACAACGCAATCCTGTTGTCCCTGAAGTTGACGCATCAGGAGCATAGCCCAGGGCCAGGCAGCGTGGCGCATCGTGAACCCATCGCAGCAGCCTTCAGGTCGGGCACCTTGGGACACTACCTTCTCAGACAGGAAGACAGATTCTTGGCAGAATTACACCACTTGCCTATGGCCACAGGGCTGGGATTGTTCCCTGGTTAGACTGGAGCTCAGATCGCTGGCTCCAACGCCATGCTCTCACTTTAGTAGTAGCCATTGCCATTTACTATTCATCAGAAACTTTACATGCATTATCTTTAATATATATATTATATATTTAATATATATATTTTTTTTCGGATTCTGGTAAAGACACACTATAGAGAACTGAGCCACCAAATTGTCATTTTGTAATTTTTATTACATTTTAAGACAAAATATAGTCAACCAAATGCCTGTAGTAGCTGGTATATTAACTATAGTGAGTTCCCTAATACAAAGCACAAAAGAAACTAGATTGGCTTATATAATGTGCGTGTGTGTGTGTGTGTGTGTGTGTGCGCGCGCCAGGGATCAAATTTGGGTCCTCGCACTTGTGAGGCAGGCAGTGGAACCACTGAGCTAAATCCCCAGCCCCATTGTCTTTAATATTGACACAGCCCCAAACAGCAGATCTCGTCATCCCCACTTTGCAGATGAGAAAACTTAGGTAGCAGGTGTAAGGTCACACACCTGGTCAGTGGCAGAGCTGCAGTTCATACTCAGCCAAGCTGGTTCTATGGCTACGCTTCTTACAATCTTCTCACAACGGGACTGGGGACAGGCACCCATATTTCATCCGACAGACTTCCCGGGGATGGCAGTTGAGATCGCACAGATCTGATCTGTTGTCCCCAACATACAGGGAGAGGAACAGGAATCCGATTCAGTAAAATAAGGGACTTTCTAAGAGTTGGCACTGTTCAAACATGGAAAGGGCCCCTTTGGAGCTCGAGAGTTCTCTGTCGCTATTGATTTCAGCTCTGGGGGCCACGAGTGTCCAAGTGGCAGTGACACTATGAAGCCCCTTCAAGGGTCCTTGAGGCCCTGAGACAGATTTAAGGATCTGAGCGCTGGTTGAAGCCTCACCCTGCACAGATGCTGCCCGTGGTGTCCCCTCCAGTGCTGCCTCTTCTGGTTCAGGTGTAGTGAGAGAGAAAGAACCAAGCCAGAGCACAGATCACCAACCATTGGACTTTGACAAATGGCTCAAATCCTTGAGCCCAGGCCTCAGACTTGGGAAGTCAGGATGAGGACACTTTTCTGGGAAGGTTGCTTTTAGGTGCCATAAGAACAGTAGCTAAGATGCTACATATTCATGCTTGATACACTATTTTATCGTTACTATTGGTAGTGGGGTTTTTTGTTTATTTGGGGGCGGGCAGGGTTTCCCTTTATAGTTCAGGCTGGCCCTGAACTCTCCAAGTAGTCCAGGCTGGCCTCGAAATTGCAGCGATCCTCCTGCCTCAGCCTTCCTTGTGCTGGGATTAGAGATGTGCACCACCACCCCTGGCCCTCCTTCTTTTCTACGGCCCATGTGGTTCAGGCTGTCAAACAGCTGTCTCTCAGCCTTCAGCGTGGGCCCCATAGCTGAGGCCAGGCCAGGAAAGAGTCAGCTTCCTCCAGTACAATGAGGTCTCCTGGTGTCCTTGACTTCCAATGTGGAAAGACCCTGAGCCTATGCCCGTGCACAGCCAGCCCCTGCTTCCCTTGGGAAGCTCTGGTTGTGTTCACGTCGCTGCTGACGTGGGCTTTGAGGGCAGCAGCGTGCCTACCCTAGGTAGTAGCCCTGTGGCCTTGTAGACCACGCAAAGGCAATCAATGGCTTCCTCCCAAGCCTCTGAGCCCAGGTGTGTACACAAAGCCCCCAGTCCCTGGCCCTTTCTCAGAGCCAGGTTTCTTATTCCCAGCAAGGAAATGAGCCTGAGCGTTGACTCAGCCCTTTAAAACGGAGACACCACAGACAGAGCCCTTGGACCAAGGCTGTGACACGTGGTCCTGTGATGCCTCTTCTGAGATGGCCTCTGAATCACCACGAGCTTTCTCTTTCAAAAAGGCACTTGCTTCTTTCCTCATTGGCGATTGTGTCGTAACGAGTTTCTTCCCGAAAATCACTCCTTCGGGAATTTTTTTTTTAAGACGTTGCTTGTTCTGAGACTGCCTTGGGCAGTGCAGCACCCTTTAAATCAGTAGAGACCCCTGCTCAGGAAGAGGCCCCTGCGAGGCTCAGAAGGAAACCTTCCGTCCTTCCTGGCCCTTCAGACAATCTCTCTCTTCTTTTCTGCTTTCCTTCCTGAATACTTGCAGTTTTTCACATTTGCAGCCTTCACATTTCTCCTTGACCCCAAAGTGGGACCCTCCATCCAGCATTCCCCAGCATCGGAGCCACACATTCATAATTTAGAATTGGAAGGCAGCCTGCTTGGATCTGCATTTCCTGTGCATTATGTTCCTCCCTCTTGTAAACCAAGTTAATCGTCTTCTAATTCCTGCTCACCTGGCCGCCCACTGTGACCTCCACTTTATCACGCATCACCCACCACCCATCAGATTTGGCCCCGTGCTTTTTGTAAAAGACCTTGAGTATCTGTGCAGTTTTATGACTCTTCCCAGCGGACTTCCTATACTCAGTCTCATTCAGTTCTCAAATCCCTTCGAGAAAGTGGCTTATTTTAATTTTACTATTCAGAAAAATGGGACCTGAGAAGCTAAGTGATATTCGGAGCTAGAATTTGAACTGATCCCATGTTGGATGCTCTTTTTTTTTTTTCTTGAGGTTCCCAGGATTTCTGGATTTGTATTGTATCAAGACACTGCTCCACTTCCTCTACAAGGGTTTGCTGATTTGTCTGTCGAATGCTGGTGCCCACACTCGCCTCCTGCGCCCTCTCTCTCTCTCTCTCTCTCTCTCTCCTCTCCCTTCCCAGCCTCCTCTGTCCTGACAGATGGCCTATGTGTCCCAGCGGCAGAACACCTGTCTGCCCAGGCCTAGGGGTGGGCACCAAGCCCTGAGTCAGCCACACCTCCTGCCTAAAAGCCAGGGCTCATTTCCACTGACCACAAATGACTGAGGTTTAGAGGGAAACCAAACCAAATCAGGAAAATCCCCCACATTTGCGGGGGGATTTTACGTACATTGTGATGAACTGGAGGTGGCCACCACTGAGACTTATTCGCCGAAGTAAACTGAGGACACAGGCCGTCCCCACTGCCGCACCTGCCCACCTCTCCTCCCTTTGTTGCCACTGATCCTGCACGGTGCTGTGTCTACTGCCCCAGCCCTGAAGCAGGAGAAGGCTCATCGGTGCCTGGGAAGTTGCCCCGAGTTGTACTGCAGTTCGACAGGGCTCCTGGGACAGTCACCTAGCTCCTCCTTGCTGGAGGAGCCACTGCTTGGCTCAGGGGAGGGGCAGAAATTAGAGGCGGTAGCTTTGATCTTTGGGGGGGCATTTCCAACCAGGCCATTGCTTCAGACCACTTCTCAGTGTCAGTCACTTATGCCTGTAACTCACTGAGTATCAGAAGGAAATCCTTGCCTGGAACCTACAGGAAACACTGGGAATCACACCTTGCTCCTGGCTGGGAATTATCCTCCCATTACACAAGAGCTATTAAGGAATTTTCAACATAGCAATGCCTTTTTGGGGACCAGTTCTGATTAATTTCAAATGATTAAAAGCGAGCTTGTTGCAGAACATCTTTGGGATATAAAATCTATTTTAAACTTCAGTCATTCACCCACTCCTTTTGAATAGCACAGTTTCTTATAATTTAAGGGAAAAGTATCTTCTGTAAGATTGTGGCTATTACAACTGCTTTCCAACTAAGTAGCTCTTTACAGTTTAGATAAATGTCCCCGCATTCATGTCTACCCTTGAGGAAGAGGAGACCAAGTCCCCAAGCGTAAGAACTTTCTGAAAATCCCTCACCACTAGTTATGTGGTGATTCTTGAACTAAAATGTAGGCTTAGCTTTTGGTCCAGTGAACTCTTTTCATTATTTCTTTCTGCTTTCCAGCCATCCCAACTAAGATGATAGGAAATATTCTACAATAAAAGTGGTTTTAGGCCAAGAGTAACACCTTACTCATTTCTTTCTTTGTGAGGTTCCCCTGAACCACCACCCCTCTACCACTTCATTTATGTATGTATTTATCAGTTTTGGGGAATCAAACCCAAGGCCTCATGCATGCTAGGCAAGTGCTCTGCCACTGAATTACGCCCCTGGCCCTTGAACCCCCAAATATTAATCAGGCCTTTAAGAATGTTTAACAACACTAGATCTACACCAAGATCAAGCATAACTTGAGAGTTCTCGCACAAAACTGGAGTGGATGCTAGTACTTGGGACGTAAAACACAGTGTCAACTCTGTCAGATCCTTTAAGGTTCCTTTCAGTCACCCAGAGAGCCCACCCCGGGCCCAAAGGCCAGCTTCACTCTACTCACCTATCCGTGTGATCTCTGTCAGCTCACTGAGTAGGAGGGGGCTCTTCAACTCTTTAAATATATAGAGGCTGTCGCCAGCCTTGGCCCGCCAGGGGGAAGGGTAGGAGGGAGGCCGAGGGGAGGGGGTGAATAAGACATGAGTAACACAAGTGCTATCAGAGGCTGAAAATAGCCTGTGAGCAAAGCCTTGCATTTTGTTCCCCCCACGCCAGCTGGTGGCTCGAAGAACAATATCACTGGGGTTCGATTTTAATCGCCAGTTTCCTATGGCACCAAGGGATCCATCTGTGGTGTCTACAGTTTCTGATTGAGTGGGAGGATGGGAAGGAACATAAAGGGTTGTACAGCTAAAATCATTCCTCCAGACCCCACCCCATCGGCTGGCCCAGGCATCGGCGCAAGTTACCTGTGAGTTAATCACAAGCTGTGTCCGGGAGCCCTCTGGAATTCTGAGACACAGGCCACCACACTCGTGAGGAGAACTCAGAGCTAAAAATAAGAGTGATGGGGGTCTGAAACGATATATAACTAACCTCTAAGCTTGCGGAGCTGGAGGAAGATCAGCTAATCATCAGAAGAAGCCTGTCTCTCTATCCTAGCAAGAATAAATTTTCTCTCAAATTTTGAGTTACTTTGCTCATAATTTTTCTTCTGTTTAAGAATTTGACCTAACAAATACATGGTTTTTATCATCACAACCTTATGTTTATGACACGTCTTGGAAAGTCTCTGTAGACCCACATTTTCTTTGGAGGACTAATTTCTCTCTCTCCTTTCTTTCTTTCTCTTTCTTTTCTTCTTTCTTTTTTGGGGGTGGGGGTGGGGGAGGTTGTGTTGTGCCTGGAATACACATGGTTTGGCTTTGATCAAGCATCACGGATCCATATGAATCATAGAATTGAATAGCTGACAATAAGTTCAGAGAGTTAAAAGTCAATTCTTCATGCAGTGAATGGGAAAACTGAGGCATCTAACCCACACAATGGCAGGGTCTCCATTGGAATTTATGTCATTTGTTCCTCAGGTTCAGGTACTTTCTTTTCATGTTGATCTGGAGGCTGAGGTTAGGGGTCCTTAGCCCCAATAAGGAGGTTTATGTAATGTAGCCCTTCAGATCTGCCCTATTAGCTCTTCAGTTACATGCCCACCAAGTACTTGGTTAAGTGAGAGAATATTTCACTGTCAAAAGAGTTGTGATAGCTGAAAGTGGTAGCTCATGCCTGTAATCTTAACACTTGAGAGGCTGAGGTAGGAGGATTGCCATGAGTTCAAGGCTTGTCTGGGCTACATAGTGAGTTCAAGGCCAGGAAAGACCCTGTCTCAAAAAACCAAAAAAAAAAAAAAAAATTTTTTTTTAAAGAGAGTTGTGACCATTTCACAGAGTTGGCTGGGGCACCTCACTTTACAGGAGATACCCTTGGTCTACATTTTCATGGAATAGCATGTTCATTTGAGAAAAGAAACAGAGATGGATATCTTAGAAAACTAAGGCTAAAACTGACTTCTGAAGTCTTCAAGGATAGTGACTTCCAAAATCAGATGTATGTATGTTAGCATCGATGCTTTATTCTGCAGACAATCTTAAGTGGAACATCAAGACAGGAGGCAGATAAACAAGCTCTGCAGCTGGAAATGAGTAGCACACGTTCACTGTCACCACCTTGCCATCTCCTACACTCTGATCTCACCTTCATACCCCGCCGTGGCACACCCATGTGCAGACCATCTGCGATTTCCGTTCCAGACTGTCACGAGCTCTGTTCGCCATGCTTTACAAGTTATTTACACAATTATAAATTGCAGTACTTTCTTCGTTCAGCATTTTATGTTTTTCATGCTTGGGTACAATAGAATGAGAATGTGTTCTTTTTTTTTTTTAATTGAGATTATTGGTACATTTTAGGAATACAGTACAGTTACATTCATTATTGGGATCTTGTACCTTTACATGACAGGTCTTGGTTCTCATTTTTTCCCCTGTCCCTGCCCTCCCTTTACCCCCTTGGGAATGTGTTCTTGATGAATTCATTGAGAGTGACTCAATCAGTAGATGCACCAAATTTGAGAAAGTATTAGTTTGTTAGTACAAATGTGGCAGACTAGCTGGTTTAAACAATAGAAATATATTTTCTCACAATTCTGGAGGCTGGAAGTTCAATATCAAGAGGTCACTAGGATTAGTGTTTCCTTAGGCTTCTCCCCATGTCTTCATCTTCCCTCTGTGTGTTTGTGCCCTATTCGCCTTTTCCCATAAGCATCAGTCATATTGATTAGGACCCACCTGTATGACCACACTTTACCTTAATTACTTATTTGAAAGTGCTCTGTCCAAGCACAGAATCTCATTCCGAGATCCTGGTGGTTAGGACTCAAACATATGACTTTTTGAGGAACTCAATTCAATCTTAATTTTTGTGTTCTACTTGAATGAAAGTATGGCTTAATTTAGGAATTAAGAAGAATTAAGAAGAAACATTTTTTACAATATTTTAGCAATGCTGTAGATAATGGTTTTGAAGTCTTCTTTTGTTTGCTCTACTAATTTTGTTTGCTTGGGTATCAGTTTTTGTTTTTGTTGTTGCTGTTGTTGTGGTTGTTGTTTAGTGTTTTTCCTTCAAGGTGCTGTTTTGGTTTTTTTTTTCACATATATTGGGATTCTTGGCTATATGTCTATCATTATACATAAGAATTCCTGTTTATCTCTTGGTGGATAGCACTATATGAAAGGAGCTTTCTCACAGTAGTCGTGAGGAGGGGTGAACTGTGTAGCCCGGTGGTGTGCTCTGCTGGCTGCTCATCTGGACTGGATGTGGGATGGGACCTCTCTTTCCCTCTGGACGTCGCTGGCTCTCTGGGACATGTCCAAGGCTTTCCCACGCCTTAGCCTGGACACACTGGAAAGTGAGGGAGGAAACTGGCCTTGAATCCATGTCTTAATCATCATTCTGGTGATGCTCAGAGCCCCTTCCCATGTAAGTCCACTGATTCCAGGTTTGCAGTGTCCTCCCTTGGCACAGTGCTCAGCTGCACATGTTCTGGTCTTCTTTCCCTTGTAATCCACATCTTTCTGCAAGTCATCAGCTTCACTTTTTGTTGGGGGTCGGGATCAAACTCACAACCTTGAGCTCACGAGGCAGGCGTGGGGCCACTGAGCTAAATCCCCAGCCCTTCTCACTTTTTTATGGCCAATATTTTTGTTGTTCCTTGGTGTTATTTCTGATTTATATTCTATTAAACCTTGTTCTGGAGTCTTGTGGTCCACTGACAATCTCCAGGTTGTGCTAACATAGGAGGCAATAACCACATGTGGCTACTTAAGTTAAAATTATTTAAAATGAAATAGAATTTGAAAATTTGGTCTCTCAACCTCAGTAGCCACATTTCAAGTGCTTAATGGCCACATATGGATCAGTGTCTACATAGTGGATAGCACAGACACGGAAAGGTCCATCATTACTGAAAGCTCTGTTGGACAGCCTTGCTCTAGAGCTTCTTCACCTGAAAAATAAATCCCTGAATTCCTTGTGGGATGCAGTGAGGCACAGATGATAGTAAGCATTTTTTGAACACATATCTCAGTGCTCGCTTGATGCTAGCTGAGCATTTATGCAGAGCTAAGTGAATGGTAATGGTAAGACTTGAACGTTTCTGCTTCATTGTTCACCCAGAATAACTATAAACTAGCAAACCCTGAGAAGCACAGGCCATGGAGCAGGCCAGGCACGAAGTGGGACAATGAGGGCCGTTGGAAATCATATGCCTTAAAACACTACCTTTATACCCCAAGTCAGAAAGAAAAGGGAACTCAATTGTGAACGGTGTTGATTTAAACCTCACAATAGCTTTGTCACTGAGGTATTATTACCCCCCCATGTATGAGTGAGAAATGAAATAAATACAAGCTCATGAAAATGAAGCAAACCCCTCCAATAGCCACATAGTTGAGTCCACAATGCATTGGTGACAATGTTGTGAGTGGAATCCCCCGCTGCCTCTTCTTCACCCCCTACAATAACTAAAACACAGTAAAGTCCTTGAGAAGTTCACATCCCAAAGATGACAGGGAAATTTAAACCCATGTTTAACTCCAAAACCCTGATACAAGTATGGGCACCATATTCGTTTGATCTTGGCCCCCTCGGTAAACACTGTGAGCAATGCTCACATGGGTGTGCTCACACACACGAGCTTTAGATGGGCACACATATATTTTTCTTGTAAATTATAAATACATTTCCATACTAACATTTCCATTAGAAATCATACTCAGAACTTTGCACTAAAATGATGAAATAAATATAATTACAATTCTTTTTCTCATGCCCTATTATTTCACGTCTTCTTTAGGTTGCTGCCTGCCCCTATTCCAACTTTGGATACCACTGCTCGAAGTAGTCACACAAAAGGAGGAAGATTTTAGAGAACTAGCAGGCCCAGGAATCTCAGCTTCCATCTACTCATCCAAGCCAATCTGAAAAGAAACATAATTGGACCATAATGAATTCAATGTCAGCCACATTCTTGGCGCAACTAGAGCTTTTCACTGTTTCTACGCACCAGTGGGCTGACATTTGTCACTGGTTCTTATTTCAAAGAGAATTACCTCTAAGCTACCATTCAAAGGTTGCTCCTGATCATGTGCCCCCTCTGTGAGTGGCACAGAAATGGACAAAGCAACACATAACTGCCTTGAGATGTTTCTTTTTTCTCAAGAAATGAAATATTAGCATCTTTACTGAAAGAAAATGAGACTTAATGAACAAACGGCTCATTTATTCATATCATCTAGCACTTTAAAGTTCATCTTGTTTTTATGGCCATACATGGCTTGCTGTGTGATAAAAGCATTCCTTACAATGCTTTTCAACTCAACAGCACTATTCTATGTTTGATTTCTTCTTGAGTTTGTGATCTTTCTCCTTGCTGTCTCTTTGTCTCATTGCATCTGTCTCTCTCTCTCTCTCTTTCTCATGAGTAGAGGGAAGATTATAGATGTAATGATTCCCTTTTTTAGAGTTGAAGAACCTGGTCCAAATGATTAGATCCCACAGAGAGTGAAAGGTGAAATTACTACT